AAGCCATACCTCAATGTTGAATGAAAGAGGCATTATATTGAAGTTTGGAAGACCTAAGAATACTTGTAAAACAAGTGAAATTCGTGTAGAGGATTTTGGAAGGAAGTCTAGACCAAAAAGGAATCAAAATAGATCAGGAAACTGAAGTTACCTAAACAATTCAGCAGTCTTGAACCGGTTCCAGGATGACCAGTGTAGAATCCTTCGTGATTGGCTACCGGTTTAGGAGTTGGCCACCAGTTCCCAATGGATAGAATAGAAAAATTTATGAACTTTAAAAGTTGAACCTGTTCTTTGATTCTTTTATCAGTTCGAGTTTAACCTGTTCGAATATTTTCCTACCAGTTCAAGATGGGCAGAATGTAAACTTCCTAAAACTTCAAACTTCCCAATTGTTCTCATGCACTCATATATCTTTCTAAATCATTGTTTTCTTCGTCCTGGAGTGTATTAAATCATAAACACTTGAACTTCTTCAAATCTACATCCGATCTTCAATCTTGAAATTTTGAACCAAAATTTTATAACTCGATCGGACTTGTTTGACAACGTAATTGGCCAATTACAAAATATATATATTTTACAATCTCCACAATATATATATATATATATATATATATATATATATATATATATATATATATATACATATCTCACATTTGAGATACCTGCGGAAGCTGAAGATGACAAACATATTGAGGGAGAGACTAAAAAAACATTTGGCCGACGAGTGGAAAAAAGCTTCCGCAACTGCTCTACAATCAATGACAACGAAGGAGCTTGCGAAGACGACTCATTCCTAGAAGGTGAAACTGTGGCACTATGATGGTCCTTATTCTTTGAAAGTTGTTGCTATTGTCCATGAATTCCCTTATTCACCAGTTTAGGATATCAAGCCTTTTAGTGACCCTTACCTCTTCTCAATCGGGAAGAATCAAAATATGTCTCGTATGTTTGAGCCACATATGGATCTGACATTGCTTGAAGGAAGGGCTATAATAGATAGATTTTAGAGTTTTCTTATGTATGCTAATAATTATAATAAATATGAGGTAATGTTGCAATATTTTCTTTTAATTAATATTAGGATTAGGTTCGCTTATGAATAAGATCTCATATCTTGCATATCTATTGGATTGAATAGAGCTATTTTACGGCACCAGCCGTATCTTCGCTTTACTTCTGCCGGTCGCATGGTTGTTCTTTTTTTGTATGTTGATGACATGATCTTGATGATGGTCATACTGATGGCATTACTCTCCTGAAATCTCAATTGCAGCAACAGTTTAAGATGAAGGATCTTGGTCCTCTTCGATATTTTCTTGGTCTCCCAAAGGGTATATGTTAGGAATTATAATAAATATATGAGATAATTTTGCAATATTTTCATGTAACAAGTATTAGGATTACTGGGGCTCATGACAACCAAACATAGGCATAACTATATGTTTCACTAGGGCTCATGACAACCATTTTGATTCTTATTTTATTTTCTTTATTTTTATGTTTACAACAAATATATTGGACATTACTTTCTTTGGATTGTTTACATATACATAGGCATATGTATTGGAATAAGTAACATTTTTTTTTTTGGGAAGGTGAATAAGTAACTTTGATGACTATTGAAAAATATTGCTTGAATTACACAGATTTCTTCTCTACTAAGTTCTTCTTATTTCCCTCTCTTCTACCCTTTCTCTTCCCTCACTTCTTATCAGTTTCCTTCTATCTTCTCAGTCATACTATCTGTCTTACATTAGTAGGATAAAAAATGATTCTTACACCGATGGTTGCGGTGAATTATTAGACATACTCTTTTAATTGGTTAATTATGTAACAAATAAAGAAGTAGAGCCATCACTTAGTTGTATTCGATATAAATAGTCAATTAAAAATTATTCGATTAGACAATTCACTGAAAATGTTCGGTGTGAATATCACTACTCTAGTAAGATTAGTGACGAGAAACGCATGGAGAGGTGTAATATGGGGGGACCCCTTCCCATTTTCGTTCCTATTTATGAAAGACCAGTATTCTCTCCCTCGTCGTTCAGAGAAGCTTCCGTTTCCACTCACATCGTTTATTTGTCACCCAGCCTCTGTTGCATGTTGCACTTTTTATATTTATGACCCGAGTGTTAAAATATTGATTATTCAACGAAGAAGTTCATGAGTGCAATAATATGCGAACTCAATAAAAGTTTTACAAGAAAGGAATGCAGTATAAGAAATTTTTTAAAAACTTATTCCACTCTTCTTTAATCACTGAGTGCTCTATCGTTACCTTAGTTTTCTTCAACATTTAATTTGACATAAAATCAAACACATTAGTAGTTAAAAACACCTCTATTCTTTTCTTTTATCCTATCTCGATGTTCTGATGTGTCAAATCACTTGGAGTTTTCACCGAATTCTCTATCACGACTTTTTAAATAAACATCATATTACTTCCCATTTTCATTCCCTTTACTTCTTTTTCCCTTTATTCTCTTGACCGCCTAAAAATGAGTAAAAGAATCACCTTAGAGAGCTAGTGAGTTCGAAGGCCAAAAGACCAACATTTTGTTGCACATTAATAAAAAAGTGAAAAATATATATTTTTTACGGGAAAAAAAAACCTCACATATCAATTTGCTCCACAAGACTGTTACTTTGAAGTTTGAAAGGTTAGACCGTATCACTAATTTAGAGTCATTGATAATAAGGGTGAAGTGCAAAAAACACCCCTTAAGTATGCTTATAATGCATATCACACCCCTCCCGTGCAAAAAACACCCCTCAAGTTTCAATTTGGTGCAATCAAGTCCCTCTTGCAAATTTAAAATCAAATTTGACTAAAGTACCCATAGTCAATAATTTTATAAAGAAAAATGATAGGTTTTCTTACGATTAATTATCAACTCTTTCTTCGAATACAACGTGGTTGAATCTCATTGGAACTCTTAAAAAAATTCCCGTAAACATCTCTTTCTCTTCGACTCATTCCCAACCACGTTATATTCGGAGGTGTAGTCGGCAATTAAAGTCGGAAGATCTATCACTTCTCTTTTATAAAATATATAAAATACAAAATTTTGTAAAAAGACCAAAAAGACAATAAACAGCCCCTGACTCTCATGCGACAGCCGGCATCGGCAAGTAAGGAGAAGATGGGCTCCGCCGTCATTGCACAGCTATCAGTCCAGCCGAGCTTCATCACAGCCGAAGCCACAGCCGAACCGAACCCATCTCACTTGCAGTCTATCTCCACCGGTCCACCGATCTAAAGCTCACTGCTGCACTCCGTCCCAATTTGCCTTTTCATCCATCTAGTCCGCTTCTGTCACTGCCGAAGAACTTGTGATTTTTGCCGGCGTTGTGAATCTGGCTGTGAAGAAGAAGCTCGGTGGATGGAGAAGAACCAACCAGCGACTATGGATACGGGGGTAGGTGGGCGGCCAACAAGATCTCGCGACGGTTATGAGCAAGGGGCGGTGGAATCGGCTGGACTGAACTCAGCCGTGATGAAGACGGCGGCTCGCGGCGTGATGGCAGCGATGATTAATATTGATGGCGATGATGGATGTGCACGGGTAGGAAGGTGATATTGTGAAATAAGGTTCGAATTGGGTTCATGGGATCGACGTATCACAGAGAAGTCATCATCAATTGCTTCGTCGCTGACGACGGTGGCAAACAGTGGAAGAAAACCCCATCTTAGCATACCCAAAATCAGAGATTGCAATTAAGCATTTCTTTGGAAGCTTTGATGCCCACAGGTGAACTCCGATACCCATCGTCATCGTCGCCGCCGCCACCGGTGCTTTCTCTCCACCCTCCTCTACAACCTCGTGCTCGACTCCTCTTTTCCTGTGACGCTGTGCAGGATGCATTTTTGTTCTTATGACATGATTGTTTCATAGTCTTCTTGTTTTACTCCTCTTAATTTTGTATGTGTTCTTGGCAAGTGACTTCTGAAATAGTACAGAAATATTAACAAAGTCTGATTCCGTTAAAGAGCAGCAGTTGATTACAAACAACACTTGGATATGCCTTTTCTTTCTTTTTGTTACACAAGTTCTACACATCTGGGCATGTTCTTGAAGGAATTTTTAATAACCACTAAGCAAACTACCCACCTCCGCGATGTACTACTGTATCGACCGACTTTCACTGGTTCAAGAAGCTCAACTCTTTCTCGCACACACAATTAGCTCCACCTTCAGAAATGCTATGTAATGATGGCTGCCATACCCTTGCTTTGGCTGCCGCCGCGGCAGCAGTAGCAGAGTTCCCTGTTGATGTCCTTGGTCGATGTTTTTCGTGTTTCGTCACCTGCAGTTTTGTGTATACACATTTAGAGAACAACTTTTAATGAAAGAAAAATTGAGAATCAATGTTTTTAACAAATTGATACAACTTTTAATAAAAGAGAAAATGAGAATAAATGTTGCGCCAAACCAACCTTCCAAATCATCTTGATTCGGTGATGATGAAGAAGAAGAAGAATGAAAGTAAATTGGATGCAGAGGAAGATGGTGGTGGGAGGAACTGGCGGCAGAGAGTAGAGAGTAGAGAGAGAAGGAAGGGTATTTTAGGAAGACTAAAAGGGCAAAATGGGTATTACAACAATAATTTAGGGGTGTTTATTGCACAGAGGGGTAATTTTGTATAATTTCAAAAGATTATGGATGTTTATTGCATACTTTTTTAATTAGGAAGTAAAAATATTACAAAAAAATATAATTCAGAGTGTTTTCTGTACTTCCCCTTTAATAATAATAAAAAGTGAATTCACAGTTATTATGCCGTATTCATGACAGATGCAATTCTCTGCTCCCACGTGTATCCAAAATTATCGAGAAAATTTCATTAGTGGCCCGAAGAGCAATTTCACTTTTGCACTTTTATGGTTTTTTCTTTAAAAAGAGTGAACTTATGCCTGAAAGATTTGGCTTCACACCTATAAATAGGAATACAAATAAGAATTTGGGATGCAACCCAACCCTAGGACAACTCTTTCAAGAGCTAACTTGGGCGCATAGTAGCATCCAGCCTTCAATATCCACTGCATAAAATACACTCCGCAATTACATCATCTCCACTCCCCCCACCACACCACTGTGTACTAAAATTCAATATTTTTAACTTCCCAAAAAAAAAAAAAAAAAAAAAAAAAAAAAATTCAATATTTTTGCTTTATCTGAATTGATATATTCATATCCATATATATAATTTTATACACAGAGAGAGACTCATAGTCTACTTCCCATCCGCCGCCATTCTTTGGTTTGGCCTGAAAATGGACGCAGCTCAAGAAGCCCACAACAGGGAAGCTTTCCGTCAAGCCGTGGTCAACACCCTCGAACGCCGTCTCTTCTACATACCCTCTTTCAAGATCTATCGCGGCGTCGCTGGTCTCTACGATTACGGCCCTCCCGGTTGCGCCGTCAAGTCCAATGTCCTCGCTTTCTGGCGTCAGGTAAGCAAGCTCCTATCACAGTACAATTTTGATTTTGATTTTTTATTTTCCCAATTCATTTGTGAACTTCTTTGTTGATTTTGATTTTGATTTTGATTTTGATTTTCATCTGGGTGTTTCATGAATTATCATAAACTTGAATAGATTGATGGATAAAGCATGTTGTATGCAATAATATCTGGGTTTTGTCCGTGAAACTTGTATCAGCCTTATAGTGTGATTTTTGATTCATGTTCTACAATGATTTGGTGATAGTGTAGATGTTGCCTTATGATATTATATTGGTCATGAATAGTTGTGACTGTGGTCAATTGGGCTTGTCATTAAGTTCTTATTCAATGATAGAATGTGTTACTTGTTCTGGATGAAGTGTTATTTTACCGTAATTCATTAGTTATATATACTTTAAGTTGAGGTTTGATGCTCCAAGTTTGATACACTGAATTGATTACTGAGATGTTTAACCCACAGGAAGAGGAAAAAGAATTATCTTAATAGCTGACACATTATTTACGAGAAAAAGAAGTAGATAATAGTGACACATTGAGTTTGGCATGCTAAATTACGTTTATGTTATGTTTGGGAGCACCGAATCGGTGCTTTGGATTTGGAATTGGAGGAAGCTTAGCTCAAATTTTGTACTAAATGTTCTCCAATCCCAAATCCAAGTCGCCAAGTCGGTGCTGCCAAACATAGCATTATTATCTTGCGCTTTCTGAGAACTATTTGCTGCTTAAATTTTGCATCTGTGGCAGTTCCATGTTTCTTGTAGACTGGCTTAGTTGCCCGTGCAAAGTATGAACAATCTAAATGAAAGTTTGTCAAAGTGTATGCCTATCGCAGCAGCTAAGCAGCACATATACATGTGTGTGTTTGTGTTTCTACATATGTTATAGTTTGCGTGGGAACTCCTTTCATGCTAGGAACTATGTTAAGTACTATTCCGGGTTGTTAGTTGAGGGCTTGGTTAGAATCTTTGCAGTCATGAGTTAATCTTGTAGGACTCTTCTGTTTCTTCCCCCTATATGTTGTGTTTTGTTGCACATTGATTGTGGTTCTCTGCATGATGTTGTTCAGCGGACTTGTTATGATAAAGAAGTCCATCATGTGGTTAATTGTTCTTTATCATACATATTTTTGTAGCTGACCTAATCCCCATTATTATTGCAGCATTTTGTTCTGGAAGAGAACATGTTGGAAGTTGATTGCCCGTGTGTGACACCGGAGATTGTGCTGAAGGCATCAGGTCATGTTGATAAGTTCACTGACCTCATGGTTAAGGATGAAAAGACCGGTACATGTTACCGTGCTGATCATTTGCTAAAAGACTTTTGCAAAGAGAAGCTTGAGAGGGATCCAAATCTTCCCGCAGAGAAGGCTGCAGAGTTCAGACATATTCTTGCTGTGTTGGATGATCTTTCTCCTGAAGAACTGGGTGCAAAGATTAAGGAATATGGCATTACTGCTCCAGATACAAAGAACCCTCTTTCTGCCCCCTATCCTTTTAATTTGATGTTTCAAACCTCAATAGGCCCATCTGGTTTGAGCCCTGGGTAGGAATACTATTAGGCTGTTTAGACTCTACCCAAGTTGCCAGAAAACTTGTAATATTTACCTGTTATAGTAACTCTAGGTTTTTTTAGGTTTCAATTGATTTAATTTCCCCAATTGTTGGGGGCCTTTATTATTGTCATTATTTTATAAGATATTATTTGCTGCAGGTATATGCGTCCCGAGACAGCACAAGGAATTTTTGTGAACTTTAAGGACTTGTACTACTACAACGGCAACAAGCTCCCTTTTGCTGCTGCTCAGATTGGTCAAGCTTTTAGGAATGAGGTATTGGGTCTTCTTCTAACTACTACACTGTTGTATGCATGCATTTACATTTATGGTTGTTGGTATTAGTTTTGTCATTGAAAGTAAGATTGATAACTAGCTCTTGATGGTGTTAGCTCATTGTCGTTGCTGTGTGATTAAGTTTCTTGTTTTGATAGCAAAAAAGAGTATGGTTGGAATAGTAGTAAAAGTACTAGGAGGGGGAGGAGATGTGTTAGTTCAGTAGTTTGTTGCATAACAAACGCTGTAGCAGCAGTAGTGGTATTTATACCTTATAGTGTGAACCCAAGAGAAAAAGAAGAAAGAAAATGCTCCAAGTCTTTCACTTGAAGAAAGAAAAATGACAGGAAATGACATGTTTGCCTAGATCAATGATTTTTGTTTTTTTTTTTTTTTTTTTTTTTTTTGTGTATGCATTGTGTGGACATGGTCTGCACCCCTTGTTGCTCTCTAGTGAATTGCTTTTATCGTTATAAAAGGATCATTGAAAATTGTCCACTTTAATTTGCATAGTAAATTGTGTCTTTGTCACTTACATTCTTCCATTTCCTTTTAAATGTATAATAAATGTTTGACGTTAAAAATACTGTATTCAATCTAAATCTTGTAGTAACTTTAAAAAATATTGCAGATATCTCCACGTCAGGGTCTCCTAAGAGTACGTGAATTCACACTGGCTGAAATAGAACATTTTGTGGATCCTGATGACAAGTCACACCCAAAATTTTCTGAAGTTGCAAACTTGGAGTTTTTGATGTTCCCAAGGGAAGACCAGGTGTCTGGACGGCAAGCAAGAAGAATAGCAATTGGTCATGCAGTTTCTGAGGTTGGTCTGATATATATATATATATATTAACACACACATACACACACACTCTCTCTCTCTCTCTCTCTCCACCTATATATGTATACATATAGCCAATACTTTGAAAAACTTATTGGCTGTCTGCTGTTGGTCAGGCCATTGTCAACAATGAAACACTGGGCTATTTCATAGGGAGAGTGTATCTGTTCTTGACATGTCTTGGTATAGACAAAGAACGCTTGCGGTTCCGGCAGCATCTGTCAAATGAGATGGCACACTATGCTGCAGACTGTTGGGATGCAGAGATTGAATGCTCTCATGGCTGGATTGAATGTGTTGGTATCGCAGATAGATCTGCATATGACTTGCGTGCTCACACGGTGAGAGTTCAGTCAGATTTCAAAGGAGACGAATTTGGAAATTTATAGACCTTTGAGAACTTAAGTCCCTTTTAGTTCAGTTCTTTGTTTTCAAAGAACTGAAAAAATAGACAACAGTTCAAAATTTCATGGTTATCAATTTTTTTGAAATTGTTTTTTCAAATCTGAGTTAAAAAATTGCCCAAATTCGTTTGACTGTGTTTTTCAAAAACTATTGTTTTTAGGAACTCTTTTCTAAGAACTGAAACAAAAAAGAAACTGAAACAAACAAGCTCCAAATATTTCAGTTCTATTGGATGAACTTATATGTGGTGGATAAAAATAATAATGCCATAGCGATTTCTCTCGCAAATAACCGTATATTTTCATTTGATGATAAAAATTGATAAATTAAAGAAGACAATGAATGATTGGACAAGATTACTGGTTTTTGTGCTAGTATTGTATTGGGAGAATAGCATGAATTATATTCCAAACCTCTGAGACTAACATTTTAAACTCTGTTGCAGGATAAAAGTGGTGTTGCCCTTGTTGCACATGAAAAATTTGCAGAGCCTAGAGAAGTGGAGGTTTCTTTTTATCTCTCTCTATCATGTTGAATAGTTTTGTCAAGTTCTTACAACTGTTTATTATACTTCTTCAGAAACTTGTTATTACTCCAGTGAAGAAGGAGTTGGGCCTTGCATTTAAGGGTAACCAGAAGATGGTGGTTGAAGCATTAGAGGTAAATTATCACTTATTTCCTTTTTTGGGTTAGTGATTTGCTTGTATCTGATGTGAGTTCTGAATGTCATTAAAGTTCGTATCCTTGGATGTGGGGAGGACTCTGTCCCTAGGACTGGAGACCCTAGAAGCGCAGACATATTGAAAGTAGTCATTTTTTATTTTTAAGATGATCACCTGTGCTTCATTTCCTGTTCCTATGCAGGCTATGGGGGAAAAAGAAGCCATGGAAATGAAAGCCACTCTGGAAACCAAAGGAGAGACAGAGTTCCAAGTTTGCACTCTCGGGAAAGCTGTCACTATCAAAAAGAATATGGTGATGATCTCTAAGGAAAAAAAGAAGGAACATCAGAGGGTCTTCACACCATCAGTGATTGAACCATCTTTTGGTATTGGAAGAATAATCTACTGTCTCTTTGAGCATACCTTCTATACTAGGTCTAGTAAAGGTGGCGATGAACAATTGAATGTTTTCCGCTTCCCTTCACTTGTGGCGCCTATCAAATGCACTGTATTCCCATTGGTTCAAAATCAAAAGTACGAGGAAGTTGCCAAACAAATTGCCAAATCATTGACTGCCGCAGGGATCTCATATAAGATTGACATAACAGGTGTGCACCTAAAAGAATATCAAGCATGTTGACTACATATTTTATGTTATTATATTTCTGCATGTTTTTTTGTTGCATATTTCTGCATGCATTTAGTATATCGTTGTTATTACAAAAACAAGTATATTTCTGCATGCATTTAGTATATCGTTGTTAACTTGAATTTAGTATAACCTAATCAAGTGTGAGATTTTTCTCTATGCTGTTTTAAGTTTGCGAGTAACAAACTTTATTATTTGGACCCAAAAGCATGCACTTCAGCTTATGTTGTTATTACAAAAACATGCAATAGTATATTGTGTTCTTTTGTTAACAGACCTTATAAAGTACTAATCAAATCATGGTAAATGTTTAGAATGGGAATCCAAACAAAATAAAAGCAGTTAAATATTGTGATACTTGGCTTGTTTTGTTGGATACCTTGATCTTCACCCATATCCTTTAATAACTCCAATTGGCATTTGTCACTCTATTAAAGAGGGCTGAATTGTAACCTGATTACTTTTGTTTGTAAGAATCGTTTGTGAGGGATGTGATGGCACTTTTATTGCTGGAATTCCTTTCGTCTGTTACCTCTTGTCATTTCTTTTATTTGTAATTGAATTTTTTATTTTTTAGAAAAACAGAATATGTCTTGCTACCATATTCTTTATGTTTAGTTTTTGTTTTAAAATTCAACATTTTTTTTGGGTCTATGATGATTATAGCAATTTGTGGAATAAACATTGGTTAGTAAATAAATTAATATCAACGGTTAGTTCTTGCCTTCTCAACTTCTCATTTAATCTACATAATTCCCTTAAAGAGAGTGATGCTGTTACCAAGACCAATTCATCCATGAAGGGTAAACATTCTATCATTATGTCCGAATCTGACCTATTATCCCACCATGCACTTGACACCAATTGAACTTGGCGCAGTTAAGTCTGCTTTTATGCTTACCTCAGTAACTTAGTTTCAGTGCAACAGATTGTTCCAGCCCTGGGACTTGGCTTGTGTATCCATCCTAATATAACCTTGCTTGTGTGCCTTTTGTGGTCTATGTTTCTTTTTTATAGGTTGGGTTGGGAGGGTGAGGTTGTACTAGTGATCTATGGATTCAAGTCTATCACTACATGTATGAATGTTCAGTCTGTTTTAATAACCTGTGCTGCTCAGATGAGACTTGGTTACCCTTTGGCCAAAAGAAATGCAAACTACATCACCAAGTTTTATTTCCCAAAGGAGGTTGAGGGTTTGACTAACACTTAAAGACATAGTAGTTGTATCGTACCTAAAAACGAAAGCAAGGAAGAAAAAATATAAAGATTCAAACCATGATCCAATTCCCATTCTGTTATGAATTAACCTAACATATTGGTTAGTTTTATATTAATACTGAACATTAATAAAATAATATATTTTGTTTAAATAGAACTACAGCTGATTATATGGAATGTAACTTTAGTAAAACTAGAAATACAAGTAGGTTAGTAATGAAAATTGATGGTTTAAGAGGTACCAAAGAAACATTTCTGTTACCTAGGTTTGATTATGCACGAAGAGAGGGGAGATGATGTTAAATCATTTAATTAAAGCAGTATGGGTTAAATGGAGGACTGCTTCTGTCATCTTGTGTGATCCCAAGTCCCATATGTATACCTCTAAAATTGAAAGGTAAATTTTAAAAATAGCTCTTAGATCAATCATACTTTATGAGACAAAATGTTGGGTGTCTAAAAAACAATATACTCATGAAATAGTCTGGTAGAGATGTGACTGTTGAGATGGATGTGTGGCAAGCAAAAAAAACAAAAGGAATTGAACACACCCTTTAGATGGTAAAAGTAATACTAATTGGAGATAAAATTGTAGAGAATTGATTGAGATGTTTTTCCAGCAGCGATGACCAATAGCTGCACTGGTTAGGAAAAATGGCATGTTCCTTTCTAAGGGTAATGCGAGGGAAATTGACATGTTCCTTATTGAGGGTAATGCTAGGGGAAGGGAAAGACTAAAACTAACATGGTTTGAGATGGTTAAGAAAGGTATGATAGCTTGTGGTTTGACTGAGGTTATGGACTTAGATTGAAATGGCCAAAAAGGATTCTTGTATTCAACTCCAAATAATTGGGAAAATGGCTTTGCTGAGTTGAGTGTTTTATGATTGCACATGGTGACTGTTATCGCCTTGATGACGATGCAGTAACATGGGATGTTCAGTTTGGAAGACCAATTTAGGAATTGGAAGGGCTGGGCACCAAAAGAGAAACACGAAAAACACATCCATGTGGCGGAAATGCGGATGTTAAGATGGATGTTAGGAACAACTAGGAAAGATGGGATTAATAATCAAAGGATTAGGGAGAGACTAGGAGTGGTGCTTATTAGCGAGAAAATAAGAGAGAGCAGACTTATATGGTATGGGAATATTCAACGAGGTATAGATGCACTCGTGAGTAGAGGAAGATTGATTTACACAGAGGGCAAAAGACAGAGTGGTTGATCAAAACTAACATGGAATGAAGTGATAAGAAATGATTTCAAAAAATTAAATTTAGTAGAAGATATGGCTTATAATAGAAAAGAGTGGAGAAAGAGAATCCATGTGGCTGGCCATGGCTTTATATGGCTTATAATAAAGACACCATGGCTTTATATGGCTTATAAAGGCAAGGATGATGAATTAGAAGAGGTCGTAGTCTTCTTTGATTTGATTTATTGGCTGCCAACGAATAGGAGGGTGATGATGTGTGGTGCCGGGTGGGAGGCAAGCATGGTGTGTTTGCGGTTAGATCTTATTACCACGCGCTTCCGGGATGAGGTTGTATTTCCATGGAAACGGTGTAGAGAACTAAAGCACCCCCCTCAAGGTGGCATTATTTTGGGTGGACAATGGTGTTGGGAAGGATCTTGACCATGGACAATTTGAAGAAGCGGCATCAGATTGTGGTTAATTGATGTTGCATGTGCAAAAGGGATAAGGATTGTGTGAGTCATCTTTTATTGCACTGTCTAGTGGTGAGAGATATTTGGGCTATGTTTTTGGCACTGTTTGGATTGCAGTCGGTGTTGTCAGCTTCTGCTATGGAAACTCTCGTCTTGGAGGGGATGTACAAATACAATGGGTTGACAAGCTCGAGACGCTTGAAGGGTTGGTCCACTATGTATATGGTGGGGTTTGTGGAGGGAAAGAAATAGGAGAATCTTTTGATGGTGTGGAAGCACTGATGTGGGTGCTGAAGCACTTTTCTTCGAGTTTATATGTTGGGGGTGTAGGGTGTATATGTACATTTGTAGAGAATTTTATTGATTTTTCAGAAAACTTGAGGGTGTAGTGATGTTTTCTTTCGTGTAGTTGTTCCTCAGGTGCACTCCCTTTGAGTGTCTTTTGATGAAATCTTGTCAATAATAATAATGAGATTCAAATGTGGGTGGGTCCCATATAGTTATAACAGGATTTGGTTTATATTGACCAAACACTTCTTGGTCTAAAGACTTGAAACTGTCATAACACAACCTTTTTAATTTTGTTATATTGGTGGGCCTGTCCTTATTTGCCTGCACTTTCTGCCTGAGTAAGAAAGCTGAAATAATCATATCTTAGATTCTTAATACATATATACATGAACACTTTGGGTAGGAATGTTAGTTGAATCATTTAGACAGGAAACAGCCATGTCTGCCCTGAAATGGAGAGGTTTCTGGAGGTCTTAACTGGATAGTAGGCTGCTTCCAGGACAAGTATTTAAACCCAATGAACATTTGGGGTAGGGTAGGAGCAAAAGGTTTAACCCACCGCACACCCCCACCCCAATTGCATCAGCTACACACAAGTGAAGGAACCATGTATCATGGGGTAGGGTAGGCAAGGCACTAGTTCTTTGTCCCACATAGATGATAATTAGAAGGTCAAGGCTTCTATAATGGAGCTCCCTGCACGTCTTTCTACCTGTCCACATGGACAGTCAAAACCAAGGGGCATCAGCTGGATTGGGATCAAAAGTTTTAAATGCATTCTGCATTTTCAAGGTTTGAAATATTAAAAATATACCTAGCGGGGGAATTTATTATTATTACTTTATTTCTTATTTTTTAAATCCCCCCCCTGCCCATGCTGTGGTCAGGAAAAGGTTGCCCCATCCCAAGGCCTATTGCCATCCCTGTTTCTTGATGGATGGATATGTAAATTTTTCACATGAGCAAACCTTGATTGGCAGGTGCCAATGCCAATCGTTGCGTCATCATGGTATGCTCAATGCTGTTGTCCTTCAAGTTTTTGGGCTACGTAACTTAATTCAGTTGTCTTTTGGCCAGAGACAGTAAGTGTTTGTCATAGTGTTATGTAGATCAATGCCATCGATGATTTGATGAATTGTTCAGCTAATTAGTTAGATACAAACTGTTCATATATGCATTTATCTATTGCAGGCACATCAATAGGGAAGAGATATGCAAGAACAGATGAACTTGGGGTTCCCCTTGCCATTACAGTGGATTCAACATCCTCAGTGACAATCCGGGAGAGGGACAGCAAACAACAGATTCGTGTTAGTATAGAGGAGGTGGCATCTGTAGTTAAGGAGGTGACTGATGGTCTGAGCACATGGGGTGATGTGCAGTGGAAATACCCGACTCATTCATCAGTGTCTGCTGATGATTGAACTTGATAGATAAAAACTCATCTTATTAGCATAGAAGATATTTGATTTTGTCAAATTGGCTTTTGTTATACATCAGTGACCTAAAATGTATTATCATCTAGACCAAGTGAATGTCTTATGTCACACAATACAAAATGCTGGCTCCTTTGAGATTCAATATCCAAGTATTTTGCACATATACAGAATCTAGTATCTTAACACACTGTATCTCAGCCTTGCATACAAATTCACTGTTTTCTAATAAATAAACGACTTTCACCGTGGAATGACTAGGAAATGGCTTTTAACATGTGTTCGATATGAATGGATGTATTTTGTTCGAGTCGATTACCTACTTGAAAGGACCTGTGGTGGGTAACAAGGTTTGTTGATGGTTTTACATGTTCTACAACTTGGTGACTTGGTTGTTCTTGTTCACCCAACCTTGCTTGTGCAGCTGATTACGCTGGGGTTTTGAGCTAGAGCAAATTTTAACTGAACTATCTTATTCCTGGTGGTCATTTTTATGAAATTGTTGTGTTGGGGATTGAGCTTTTCTGGTTTTTGGTGTAGGGTATAATGCAAGTCTCAAATCACATTTTTTCCCGACATGATACAGTCTTAATCCCGTCTAAGTTTGCCCATTAGAACCCATTCCTTGATATGAAAAGGTTGGCAAGTGAAATAGGTACACAATTACTCCTTGGTATCCACCACTCTTTGAAGTAAAAGCAAAAACACAATTTTTTCTGTGTCTACGTGTGCCCTTTTATTTATATATATATTTTAATTGTTTTCATATGGTTGGCTTGCTTGTGATTTAAGGAGAGGTGTATGTATACACTTGCAGACCTAGTTACAATAGTCTGCCCATAAGTGAGTTACTAACCTAGTCTCCCTAAAGTTTGTTACCACCTAAAGTAGCTTGCTTGTATGTAATCACATATTAGTTGGCTCCATCTATCACACACCAAGAATGTCCAATTGCTGTCTGAAACACCATTGTCGCACATAAGGTTCTATTGGGCCTTACTGGGACTTGAACACTTGATTTTCTTATGTGAAAGTAAGGGTTGTAATTCGTATTGGTGGGTCGTGTTCGTATCGTGTTAAAGCATGTGTATTCTGTTAAATGGGTCGACACGAATACGACACCATTATTATTCGTGTCAAGAAACCTTGACACAGATACGACATGATTATTACATGGGTAACACGAAACGCGGAACTCATTTAATAAATGAGTCAAAATTTGGCACAATACGAAACGGCGCGACAAGACACTTTAAAGTCATTTCTGACACAAACAGAACATGTTTATTCAACACGTTTAGCTAAACAGATCATTTTTAATATGAATACAACATGTTTATTTGACATGTTTAAATAAACCGGTTGACAGGTCTAACACAAACACGACACATTTAATTACTGTGTCAATTCTGATCAACATGATTACGACACGAACACAAACACAAACACAATTAAGTTAAACTCAAATCCACTTATCCTATATTGTGTTCGAGTCGTATTAGTGTGTCGTGGCAAATATTGCCACCCCTAACCTTTGGTCTATTCAGCATAACTTAAACATATGCTAATTTTTGGTCATGCAAAGAAATGTACTATACTCTGGAAGTTAGGCGATCTACCTCTACCAAGGACATGTACTATACTCTGGAAGTTAGGTGATCTACCTCCACCAGACAAAGTTTTTTATTTTTTATTTTTTAGTTTTTTTCCTAGTTCGAACCCTTGACCTCCTTGGGAAGTAGGAGCCTTATACCGCTAGGCCACATGCCTGTTGATATAATAAAATTGAAAATTTAGTATAAATATTTAAAAAGCTGAATTTTAAGTACTCAAGTTTTGAAGTGGTAATAAAGAAAAATAAAGGACTTTTAAAATTTTACTATATTTTAATTATATTTATATTTTTAAATCATATTTAAATTACGCTATTAAACGTATTTAATTGAATTATGTCCATGGTAATTACAGCCCAAGACCAGAGCGAAGACAACACATCTTAGGCAGGCCAAAAAATATAAAAGGCCGCAGCCTAGCGCAGACAAAAAGTATGAGCCCAACACAAACAAAGAATACATGGCCCAGCCCAAAGCTATATGTATATGGCTTGGTCAAGGTGGGTCTGCTTTGACCCTAGAAAAGACGAAAACGCCCCCATGTGCAAATATATACATTAAACATGCTATTATAATGTATTAAAACACCCAACCATATAAACACACTTCAAATAATATAATATGCAATGAAACAATCTCGAAAAATAACCCCGAGTATGAAAAATTCAGGTGCGGGAAGGCCCGAAAATTTGAAAAATGCCAAAATGGCTCAAAATACATTTCTAATGGTTATGAGCTCAAAGAAAAGTCCCAAACTACCCTCGGAACCTTTGTGACAAGCTAATTGATGCGTGGCATGCAAAACGAGGCAAAAATAAATAAATCTAAAAATTCAAAAAATACCCGAAAAATGAAAAAAATCAAGAAACATTACAGACTTAATGTGTAGAACACATTCGTGTAAATTTTAATGTACATGGCGACTTGTATTCAATGATGTAATAGTTGATAAGTTTGTAAATTCAATGTCTAATTGTATGTATCTAGGATAGAAATGGATTTTGGAGACTAATCATTCATCAATTGCGGCCTCTTAGCGATTTCTACTTCTTCTTAGAATTTCATAGCCGTATGTTATGTAATTGAACCTTTTATGTTGTATGAATGTTTCTACATTAATGTATCTATGTTTGTGGATGTCTTGGAACTGGTTTTGAGTTGTATGGATGTGTCCATCATCATAATTTCAATGTAGGATCTAAGCCAAAGCTTCTTTGGAGGTCCACGGCTACTTTCTGGGTTTAACTTGATTAATTGAGTCTTCCATACTTAGAAAAATTTGAGAAAATAAAAAATTGCATACTCTCTGTCCCATTGTTCGAGTTTGAACTCTATCAATTGAGTTGGAACTCGATCAATCGAGTTGGGTTCGATCGATCAAGCATTTTTACCTATTCATTGGTTGTTAACCCAAATTTCGAATGACTATAACTCCCATATTTTAAACCCAAATTGGGTCATTCTTGAGTCTAACTGATCGACTTGAAGTCAACTTTCTAATGAAATCAATCGCATCCTCAAAATCCAACCACATCGAGAATTATAAGTGTTATAAGTGTTTCAATGAAGAGTTATTGGAGAATCCTTCAAAGTGGGTAAATGTGAGAAACTATACTTATGACCATTAGGAATTTATGGAACGGACTTAATTGAATAATGTGATGTTAGAGAGACCCATTTGACTACTTATAGTCAACTCTCCTCCCATATTTGCCTTGAAATGACCATTTTGCCCTTGGTGTCCTCGGGTTTGAGTATGGACCTGGTTAGTGATTCGGACCCACAGGTTTGGGTCGTTACAATTCTCCTTATCAATGTTATGGTGATTTTACTTTCAAGTATGAGAGAGTTATGAACCCTTGCTTTAACTAATGGGTACTTTGATTTAAATTATGGGTCCTAGGGCTTAAGACTAGGGTACTTTGGTTAGCTATTAATCAATAACTTTAGAACATGCTCTCAAGATTACATCTATATTTATTATTACAGTGATTAGTTTGATCACAGGAAATTCAAGCATTTGGTATGGTTTTAATAAAATGCTTTTTGTATATATATTTTATTAAATGTGTATTATTTTATCGGAATGAATTTTTATGTTATCAAACAGGAATAATAACGAATAAAATAAAGGATTAATTTTTTATTCATGTTCTCTGTGCTTAGTATTGTTTCATGCTTTAACTATGGTCTATGTTTTCCTTTCAATATCAAAATGTGTTCACAACATTAAATCTCTTATGTTATTTCTATGTATATGCATAACAACATATAAAAACCTGCTCAATTATGGTAGTCACTTTTACTTTCAGTAAATATGTCCATATTCTCTAAATTCTTGCATTCATTTTATCTTTGTGTTTAGTGGCTAAATTTTTCTAATTAAATAGTACGATCATGCTTATTCTAAGTTCTGTTCATGAAGCAGTCAATAAAATTAGTCTGCATAATCATGTATCAGTAGGTGCAAACTAACAGTCACTTCAAGGGCTTTTTAGTAATTGTGCAGGTATCACAGGTTCTGACATGTGCCTTCTACAAGGTCTCAAAATTCTAGAATGATCATGCTTCAGGAAATGACATTGCTGTCCTCATATCATTCCTGTAGAGCTTAAATTTCAAAAGTAAAGTTGTTAGTGCACCTTGTTAGAAATAAAGAGAAAGAGATGAAACATATATTGTATTGATGTGTATGATATATGTAATATAAGAGTACGTAGGGGTTTATATAGGAGAGGTCATGTGTGGAGAGCAAGTCATTACAATATAAGGTAATGCTATATATGGTAATGAGGGTAGGTTAAGACAACTACTACATAAAATAATGCTATATATGGTAATGATATATTATAAAATATATTCTAACAATACATGGTAACAATATATTATAGAATATATTCTAACAGCCCCCTTAAAGTCAAGTTGAGTTATATGGAGCCATCTTGAGTTTGAAGATAATCCTTTCACCTTGATGTAACTGACGTGGCATCGATGCTAACGTGGTTGATGACATGACAACTGAAGTGGTAGGTGACTTGGCACTACTGCTAGCACTTCTGTTGCGTGGCAATTGACGTGGTAGGTGACGTGGCACAACTACTGGCACCGTTGCAGAATGTGTCTGACATTGCACATGTTAAGTGACGTAGGGTGGATTTGTGAAGATCTTAGAGGTAGGTGCTAAGCGTGAATATGTTTACGTTGCCATCCCCGGTGGTAACTACTATAAACTGATGGGTGATGAATTTGTGAAGATTCACCACGTTAAAGGCGCGTGTGAGCGCATGAAGACCACTGATGGCGCGGTAACGGAGTTGATCTGACACGTTGACCATATCTGAATGAGGCATCTTGTTAAACAACGAGGCTTCCCTATACGGGGCATCCCTAGGCGGGGCATTTCTAAATGAGGCATCTCGTTGGGTTTCTTGAAGGAAGACTTAGACAACAAGGCTTCACTGGACGGGGCATATGGATATCTTGGGGTGCAGAAGCGTGAGTTTACTGGTTGACCGTCGCTGTCGAGGATGGG